CCTCGGGAGCGATCTCATCAGGTGGCGGGTCCGGGGAGGAGCCGTTACCGGGAGTTGCGTGAGGAGCGAGCGCAGAATGAAGAGAACAGTGTTTGCCATTGCCCGGTTGAGGGGTGACCCGCTGCTTTTCGGCAGCTGTTGTATGCTCAGCCCCAGGAGGCTTTGAGTTGATGAAAACGCTTCAGTCTTGTCACTGTTGTGTTAAGACTTCACTATTTTTTAGTAAGGTTAAATGATCCTGTCTGAAGGGCGTGCAAAGGGCTAGTGTGCAGAACTGTAGGCATTCAGAAGGCTTATGTAGCTTATGCTGTGTTCTGTCAGTGGTTTGAGGTGACTGACTTACAGGTAAGACACGCTGACGGGCTGCTGGAGACAAGTGATCATATTGGGGATGCAGTGCAGTGTGTGGCAGGTGACAGAAACAGCCGAGCTCCATTTTGGGATGGTGAGAACCAATCTCTAGTTTATTGTCTGAAAAAGATGTCTGATAATGTGTCTCTCATCCAACTATTTTCAGCTGTATACTCCTGCACGCTGCAGTCAGAGGCAGACCGGGTCTATAATGACTTATCCCTTCTTAATTGAACTCTTGTTACATGAGAAGCATAATCTCTAGTGCTTTCTTCCCAGTTCTGAGGACTTAAAAAGTTATCTTGAAGTAGACATGACTACAAAACATTTTCTCTCTTGTTGCTTTTAGAAAGGATGTTGTTTTCAGAAAATTCCTTCAGTGAGGTGAGGTTGGAGGAAAGGAGAGACAGGGATGCAGTGTGGGCTTTTAAATTATTATGTGAGAGGTCATTAGGGGAGAGCTCTTCATTTGTAGAATGGCTTTAACTACATTACTGAGCAAGTGACTTGGAGAATCACAGAATTATTGAGGCTGTAAAGGACCTCTGAGATCAAGTCCAGCCTATGACCCAATACCACCACTTTGGCTAGAGTTTGGCATAAAATAAATAGGCAGTGGGAGAAGCCTATTCCTGTCTCCCAAGTTTTGCTGTTCTGCAAAGTATGAGTGTTGGTCTGCTCCCTCCTTCTCTTCGACAATATATGATGTTTGGGAGTGAAACCCACCGATTTCATAATAGTACTTGAGCAAAAATAAAATTTGCATTTTTAAATGTAAGTTAAATTACAACAGCAGTATCTTTGTCCCAGTTATGTGCAAAGATGCCGTGACATCATATGGATTTCTGCATCTTCCAGATGAGGAACAGAACACAGCAAGAAGTGACAAATCCCTCTCTCAATTCTAAACTCCTTAAGTGATGTTTAACTTTTGACTTTTGTTCAGATGCCTCAGCTGGAATTTTAAAAAAGAATTTTGGGGAGAAAGAGGTTTTGTGTGCTGCCTTTGCATCTGGACATCTCCCTCCTTTGCCTGGTGTGAAAGAACTGATCCATGAGTGAGAAGGACCAGTTGCCCCTGGTTTTGGTGGATGTGTGCCTTCTGCTTCTGACTGATGACTTGTGTGCTTCCACAACGTTTTCATTCCACCATGGGGTCACTTTAAATATTTCTCACCAGCCTGATAGAGAGTTTTCCTTTGTCAAATATGGGTTGAAATTGGCCAAGTTTGATATGTACATGTCACAAATCTGGTGGAGTTACAAAAGTTTCCTTTTCTTAAGAAACAGTGCTAAAATGGTCTTTCTGTAAGGCCAGATTTTTAACAGCTGTGGCCAATTTCTACTTCTAATATTATACAAAAGAAGGAATGAATATTTAGATAGGAGAAATAAATACGGTCACAAGACATTCAGTAAAACTAGGAGGATAAAACACTGAAAATGTTTTCCTTGGCATATTATTCTGCTACAGTAATTGCTTCAATATTTTGCTTCAGAACATTTACTTCAGACTGTTCCTCTCTTAGAGAAGGGCACAGAATCATGTATTTCATTTTGTTAGGAGTGAAAAAATCTATTAAAGGAGATTATTTCATTTCAGAGTAGTTGAAGCAGTTCTGATTAAGTGGTGACTGACAACATTCTCTTATGCAAATCTGAAATTAAATCAAACAAAACTCATTTTTTTTAAGTCTTTAAAGTGTTCATCCTTATGTGTGAATATGTTTTAGGGAGTAGAGAATAAGTGTTAATTATTTAGGTGAGATTACCATTTGTGATGTACCTTGCAGTTTTACTCAGCAGTAACTTGCAGGTGAATATTTCTCAAGAGAGCGAGATCATCATGAGAGCACTTAAGATCTTTGCCCAGTTTGGGAACTAAATTTTTCTGATATTAAGCACCTGAAACTTTTATGCTGTATCAGAAGTTAGTCTTTGAAGCCTTCAAGATTAGCTGCATGTTACAGTCAATCCTTAGTGGACAGCAGCTTTTTTTTTTTTTTAAATTGTTGGAAGCACAAGGCTGTTATACTATGCCAGATATACACAGCAATTGTTTCTGCCTCACTTCAGTGCTTGGATGCTGGATTTACAGCAGTGCTGTTCACTGGCTTGTATAATGGTATTGGTATTGTGTTAATTCTTGATGACACTTCTTTGTCACGATAATCTTTCTTTTAAAGGATATCAACCAGAAGCTGCAAGAAGATAACCAAGAACTGAGAGACCTTTGCTGCTTTCTGGATGATGACAGACAGAAAGGCAAGAAGGTGTCCCGCGAGTGGCAGAGACTGGGCAGATACAGTGCTAGTGTCATGCACAAAGAGGTTGCCTTGTACTTGCAGAAGCTGAAAGAGCTGGAAGTGAGACAAGAAGAAGTGGTTAAGGAAAACCTGGAGCTGAAAGAATTGTGCGTGTTGCTGGATGAGGAGAAGAGTGGTGGAGCAGGCAGCCGGAGCTCTATCGACAGCCAGATCAGCCTGTGCCAGTTAACTGCGACGAGTGCTTACATAAGAGATGTCGGTGATGGGAGTAGTACTTCTAGCACGGGCAGTACAGACAGTCCAGACCATCATAAACATCACCCAAGTACTAGTCCAGAACATCTTCAAAAAACTCGGGGTGAGGGAAGCCCCGAGCATCAGAAACACAGGAGTATCAGCCCAGAGCACCTGCAGAAACCCCGGGCTTCTGGCAGTCCTGATCATCACCTGAAAGGACCGAGTCCGGAACATCACAAAACCGTTGTCAAAGCACCCGAACAACAAAAGCACAGCAGCAGCAGTCCAGAAACTATCCCAAAGCATGTTTTGAGTAGTAGCCCTGAACACTTTCAAAAACAGAGGCCTGGTAGTAGCCCTGAGCATCAGAAGCATGGCAGCGGCAGCCCGGATCATCTGCAGAAGCACACGCCGAGCGGAAGTACAGAACACCTCCACAAAGTGAGGGGTACGAGCCCTGAGCATCTCAAACAACACTATGGAGGGAGCCCCGAGCATCTCAAACATCTCAGTGGAGGCAGCAGAGAAGGTACCCTCAGGAGACAAGTAACAGATGACCTGTCACCTCACCACAGAAGTATATACAATGGAATGAATGGTGGGTCAATACATTTAGTGAAACTCACTTTGGAAATTACTGAGGTAGTTTTGGTGCTATTTCAGCTGTCTCTGGAAAAGGAGTAATGTTTCCTGTGAAGTGAAAGGTAACGAGTCTGGTGTCAGCATTACTCCCTTAGCAAGTGAGTCCAGTGGGTGTTGGGTGGGTTAAAAAGGTGGAAGAAAAGTGCATCTTGAGTGTTGGTGTATGGTATCAAGAAGCAGCTCTTGGCTCTGCAGTTGGTGGATGTAAACTCTTTGTCCCTAGGTAGATTTCCGTTTACTTCAGAGAGGAATTGTATGTATTTCTTGTGCTGCCTATATTTTGAGTCAGTAGAAGGGAGGGGAATGCCTCCAATTTCATTTCCACTCTAGCAGCCTACCTTCCCTGTAGCTTTAAAGGTTTTGAAATATCCTGATTATAGATCCTTTACCATATGCTCTGGAAAAGACCACATATGAAGAACTAGGCTCAATAGAAATGGGTATGATAGCTACTAAAGCTTTTCAAAGCCTTGAGTTTGCATGTGTTTAATTATAACAAAGGAAAAATTAAACATTTTAAGTTTTGTTTTCTTTTATGTCATTATTCCTGCATTTTACAAAGGTACACAGCTAGGCACGTTTGCTGAGTATCCTTGCCGATTGAAATTAATTACTCTGAGATAGTAAGAATTAAAGTATTTTGGTATTTTAAAGGACAAACTATTTCAGCAGTATTGAAAAGAATGAAATAAAGCAAATAAAATGATTAAAAGCAAAGTTCAAACATCCTCCTGTGCTGTAGAAATAGCTTTTGTTAGACTTGGCAGAATTTTTATAGTCTACTCCATGTTGTTTATGTGCTCCGAGATGTTTTTACGAGGGATATTAACATCATAGTTGAAAACCCATCTCTCAGATCTTTGCGCTTACATTTGAAGTCAAGCTTTGAAGAAAGCGAGGATTTTGCCATAGTAAATTGTCTTGGATGGATTTCATGCGTTTCCATTTTGTAAGTGGCTGTGAGAAGTTGTGTTGACATCGGTGGAACTGGTTGCTTGTTGTTGGATCTGCTTGTGAGATGGAGGAGCAAGTGAGCTTTGCCGGGTGCTCTCCTCATCATTCGTTGCATCGTTCTCATATCAGTGCATGCACCTGTTGTGATGAACTTAAGGGGTTCCTTTAGTTAAGATAAACTGCTCTGTAGGGGTAAATCCAGATTATTTTCAGTGAAATACTTGCCCTTGGCGGGGCTGATGAACCCCAAGGTGGTAAGCATAGAGACTTGTGGTTTTAACCTTTTTACAATTATTAGTAAGATGAGTGTATGGCAACTGTGTGAAGATATGTAGTACATAAGTTATAAAAGTTAGTCTTGCAATACTTGCGTTAAATACTCCCTTTCTCCATTCAGTTCTTTCTGTTTAAAATTGACCTGACTGTAAGTGATGTAAGGTATGGAACCAGGCTTCCTAAGAGTGACTTCTTGCTTGCAATCATGATGTTCATCAGGCCAGTCACTGGTTATGTAGAAAGGTGATCTAATGGTATAAGCATATATTTGGAAAACTTGTGCACAAATATATATTTTTTTAATTTTTTTTTTGCTCCCGGGAGGATAGGATGGGCCTTCTGGTATTTTTTTGGTCCAGAAAGTCCAGTTAAAAACTCATCCATGTTATTAACAGTGCAAGGAAAGCAGTTGTTACTTTAGAGCTGACTGGAGGCTTTTGTGCACAGTATTTCAACTGTCTATGATATGGGCTTGTGCCGTAAGATGCTGGAGAGGGCAGCTGGTGATTTGGGAGTCTGTTTCTTGACTTTAATCAGAGCTTTGCCTGTCCTGTGCTTTATGCAGAGGACTTCTCTCACCAGTAAGTCATCAGACCTTTCTTCTTTTGTGTTTATATAATTCGATGCCAGCTTGAGGTTTAATTCTGACATTTGTCTGACCTTGCTCAATGGCAAAATTCTTCATGACTTTACTTTGAGGAAGGATCCTTTAAACTTCAGGGAAATGGTTGGTGTTCCCAGCAAGGCCAAATCATTTGGAGTTTTGTGTTTTGCTTTTTGTCAGCTGCTGTAAAATTATGGAGAAGGGTGAGTATAGAAGTGCTGATCAGCATCGCTTGTTATCGTTGTGACAGTAATGTGTAAAATCTTAGTTTGCATGTTCTGCATACACGTGCACCTGCCAACTGAGTATAGATGGGAAACTGTGTGTGGAGCTGTGATGGAAGTCCTGATCTTTTGCATCTGCTGTAAGGGATAGTGCAACTGTGAAAACATGACTTAGAAAGTGGCATGGAAACCTGGCTCTGAGCGTTACAAAAAGAGGCTATTTTTGATTCTTATTACAAAGCTGTGTAGTAAGTATACTAGGCCGTATTGGTGGAACCAAGTTTGGTTTGAAATTTGGAGTATATCTAGCTAGTAGCTGTTTGCACAGCTGTGTATTATTTTGCAGGGCACTTCTAATCTGATTGCAGTACTTGTAGGCTATCATTTGAGCAGCGAGAGTGAAGTGTGTGTTTCTATGCGATGAACAACAAAGACTAACGGCTTTTTGGCTCCTTTGTAAATAAAGAAATAAAACAATGTATTTTAACTAGGTACTCAGAACTTACCAGACTGAGTAAAAACCTGTCCCATCTTCCTTGATCTTAATGACCAAGTCAGGCCTGAGGGGAGATGTTCCTCTGCATGTCAGCCCTCACTCCAAAAAGTACTTTCTGACAGACTCTCAAGCTACAGTTAAAGGAGTTGCAATACAATATTACAACACTATGAAAAATATGATGTGTAGCAGTAGTCAGCTTTACAGAACGTGTTGTATGCATCAATCATTGGAGCTTCTTGCAGATTTTAAGCTGTCATAAGGTATGCGGGGAGTTACTTCACTCTGGAGCTGCCTTTGGTCCACAGGCACAGCTGAAGGAATAATGGATGAGGTGGTAACATTTCCTCTCATAATTCTTCTCGTTTTCTATATTCAAATGTTTGATCTTGGTATTTTTTTCTTGTAGGACATGTCAGCTTTCATTTATGAGATTTATAAAGCTTTAAAAAAAAAAAAAAAAAGAACTTTAGGGTTCTCTTACATGTCTTTTCTGAAATGAGTGTCCTGATCGTTTGGAGTGACAGAAAATGGATGCGAGAGCTAAATTTGGCTTGATGGTTGTTAGCTGAAATCATATGTATTTCATTTTAAAGGCTTCAAACAAATAAAACATGACAATCTTATGCTGTGATTGCACCTAAATGTTCTGGGTAATGAGCACAGAGGTGTTTGGGATAGAGTGATTGCTGAAATTAGAAGAGAGAATACCAGTGGTAAAAACATTGTAAAGAGAACATTCATGCAACTTAAAGTAATACATGACAGTTTAACTGGGGTATAAGTGCCTCTATATAAATTAATGTGCTTTCAACATTTACAATCGAAGTGGTACTTTTTATTCTAAGCAATTTACTGTAAACTTTCTATTTTAAGAAGTCCTTTGTTTTACTCTGGGCTTTGACTTTGTGAAAGTATCAGAAGGCTTTCATGTGTGCTTTTTGCTTCCTGCTTTTTTTTATGAAGTAGAACTGCTGACTAACACTGTATGTGCTGCTGTAGGTGTGAGGATTCTTACAGAGCAAAAGCAACAGCACCTCTTCTTGAGCAAAGGTATTTGTAGGCTAAACAGACTCAGATTAAGTTGTAAACAATTTCTGCTATAAATGTGCTTCTTAAAAGGAGAATAAAATCTGAGTGCTGAGTAAAAAGAGGGAAGTACAGTATGACATCAGAGAGAAAATCTTATAATAATGTTACTAACTGATGTCCTCTCTGAGGAAATAGGTCACATTCTGCTGGCCAACTAGTGCGGTGATGTCATGTTTCTATGTAGGTTTGCTTGTGTGTTATGTTTCTTAAAGCTGAAATTGAAATAATTTGCCTCTCATTGACAGCATTGTACAATACTTCCCATGTGACTTGAGCTTTCCTGATGACACCCACCACTGTACATCTGCCATTGGTGGCCTGACACAGCATTCCTTACTCTGAAGAGTAACCTCTTGTATAAACAAAGGCTGCAAGACTGATAAATTTTTATTTTCTTTTTTTGCTGGCCAGTTTGAAGTAATCTACTATTTATTTCAGAAGTTTGTTTTAAGTGTAGAGCTCTGAAACTTTGTCAATTGTCAGTCAGAGTCTTTCAGTTGAATTCCAAAGGTTTTCTCTCAAACTTGTAAATTAACTTCAGCTGTTACACACTGTAGGACAACTGGGGCATGAGATGTGAATATGTATGTGACTAGATCATGCTATGTTTATTACCAAACTTTTTTTTGTGTATGTGGAGTAATTTATCAAATTGAAAATGTGGCTTGTGATATCAAAACAGTGAACCTGCTACCCATTCATGGTGTAGGGCTTTGGGAAGAAGTTTATGCCTACGTATCCTTAACTTTACTGACAAAAGCAGTTCTGGTTTGAATGTTCAATATAAGATGGATTGTTGTTCCAGAAAAACTGTTGATATGTTAATGGGAAGAGTGATGTCTCTCCCTATAAAGAAACTTGCCTAATTATGAGCAGTTATATGGATGTTCCAGCACTCCGATATCCAAAGAGTTCAGTGAGTGCTTAGCGTGGCAGAGACCGGTGCTGACGGCAGAGCTCTGCTTCTGTCCCTGCCTGTGTGAGGTAGGCAGCCCCACTACACATCGCAGTGGGAAGTGCAGGTAGGATTCACCTGAGCACCTCTTGTCACAGCCTCGTACGATACACAAAGTTTCCTGTGAAGTCACAGATCTCAAATTTTATACTTTTTCCTCTTTTCCTCAGGTTGCATCTCCTGCTACACAGACAACTTGGTTTTGCAGTAAGGACATGATATTAATTTTGTCTTTCTTTGACGGAGGCAAGAACCAGAGTAGGGAAATACAGAGATACTATCTGTAAACCATCGCCAGTATGCTACGTAACTTTTAGAACAAGGTCTGTGTTAGTCCATGCTGAGTGTGTTAATA